GCTCCATGACACAACTTCTCTACAAAGACATGTAATGGTGGTTCAAACATTTAAACAATTCAAATGGTGCAGACAGTTCTATCCTTATTTTTTCCTGGTTTTCTTTTCCGTCCCCTTAGCTCTCTTGCCATAGTGTTATGAACAGCTATATGCTAAATGCTCACAAAACTAATGTTTGGGCCAGCTCTAAACTTGAACTTCTGGGCTTTTTGCACTCCAATAAATGCAAATAATGAAAACTTGCAAATCTGCATTCTGAACTATTTTGGAGAAATTTTAAACCTCTTTCTAGTGCTCTTTTTCTCTTAACTTTACCACTTCTCTTTACTTTACCACTGTGATGCTACTGATTTAAAGGCACTAATAGAATATCAGCCTCTTCTGAGAATTATTTCTGAGTATTGTTAACATATTTGGTATTCCTTTAAGAAAGCTTATTTCTCTTATCCATTGTAAGATTCCTTTGTCACTAATAGAAATAAGTGTAACCAAAGATCTCATGAAGATCTAGAGAAAACTATGTTATTGAATTTTTAAGATAAACTGCTGTAAGACTTCATTTTCCATTCTTTTTTTTCCTTTTTTGATTTTCATTCAGATTTAATAACTAGTTGTTATAGGAACACTTACTCTTTTTTTTAAATAATATTTGGCAAAACCTGTGTAAATTAATAAAAATATTTGTAAGTATGTATGGCCAGGATAAAAGCCCTTCATAGAGTAATACAGATTTCAAAAATGGCTGTTACCCTGCAATAGCAACTCCCATTTGTAAACATGTTTTACATTATTCAAGATGATGAAGAAACGGTGCTTGCACAAGGTTTATGAAAAATTGATTCTATTTCTTATTTTGCCTACCATTTCCTTCAGTAAAGCAAAGATTTCCCTATACATTCTGAATTCAGGATTTCTGATATTGAATTAAACAATTGTGCATACATTAAATATGTAAAAATAGATATTCTTCTTAAAATGAATTGACATGATTGATATGATTTGACAGAATTAGAGCTGTACAACTAAAAGAAATCAATATTTTTATATTTGAAGATGAGCACTACAGGAACATATCCTATCTAACAAAAGAAATTTATGCTATCTAACCTAAAATGAATTTTCGTGTGATGAAGATAAAGAATGATTTTTTCATAAATTCAGCAATCTCACATTTCCAATCATGGCTAGGAAAGAAAAAACCACCCCGATAAATTATATTGTCCTACACTGTGGTGCTTTTCAAAGATAGTTTGGAAGCAGTTTTAAGCAACAATTTTTTGAAGAATATTAATGTCCTCTTATTTAAAATATCTCTATGGCATTCTATTTTATTCCTGTTTTAAATAAAATATATCTATACTAATTGAACTGTATGGCAGGGAAGTTATGCGATTCAGCAACATAATGTCTGTATGAGTGGATGCATGTGCATATCTATTTGTAAATATAAAATCATAAAATAGAACTGCTGTGAATTTGAAATATCTCTCATACATCCATCCAGTAAAGATTAAAGCTCACCTTAAAACATTAATTAGAAACATTGATGTATTTGAAGCCTCTACCTTCATATTTGCAAGGCCATAGCAAGAGTAATGAGGCTAAATGAAAGTGGACAATAATCTGCCTTCCTTCCTTCCCTTGTAAAATCAGAAAATTCTGTATGCTTCACACTATTTCAGTCTTTACTTCTTTGTCTAGAACGTTGTATTGTGTGTTACTAGGTTAGATATTAGAAAAAGGTTCTCCACTCAGAGGGTGTTTGGGCACTGCAGCAGGCTCCCCAGGGAAGTGGGCAAAGCATCAAGTCTGACAGAGTTCAAGAAGCATCTCTACCTCCTGATGTAAAATCTCACTTTTACAAATAAGTTTAAAAACAACAGTCATTAGTTAGCAAGAGCATATTCAGGTTTAGAAAGATGTCTGAATTGCTACATATACTGTATGTGATGATAAAAATGATTTCTGAACACTCAGACATATCAATGCAAAAACCCCATTTCATCTTTTGCAATATAACCCATTGTAGCACTTCACCATAAATCCCAGTCCTGCCTTCCTCCAGGACTCCACTGACCTAAGCTGATAATATGTTGGGCAACTAATAGAGACACTGTAGTTGATGTTTTTCAGGCAGGGAAGGAAAAGATGAATAAATGAAGAAAATGTTGGTTCAATGGGAACAATATTTCACCTGTTTTTGCAACGTTAAAGGCAGAACATTTGACAGAAATTGCTTATTACTTGCTGTTGTACCAGATAGATAGATAGACACACATGATTTCTGGGAGCTGGAGTTATATATATGCATTAATTCTTTGTGCAGCCTATCTAATTGTATTTATTGCCCATACTTGATAAACAGCAAGCAACCATGTGATGTGACATCCACTGAAAGACTTAATATTTTATATCTTTGGCTTCCTTAAAATTGCAGCACAGAGAAATTGCAACAGAATGATGAAGAAAGGAGGTTCTGAGCAAATTAAATAATACACGTTGGACTGTTTCACCCCTTCAATTAAGTTTAAAATAAAAACTAAACAGAGTCTTTTACTCAAAGTGCAGTTCTGCTTTTGCCCATTTACCCTTTACTGCCTGCCCTCATCACCTCTCAGGTGTATTTCTTCTTGCTGTCCTACTCAAGTTATTGTAATCATCACACTGAACATGTTTGCTACAAGGTAATTTTAAGTGTCTTATCTGAGCTTCTCCACTGGGTTTTTAAAACTGAAATAGCTTGTAACATTTATTCTGAAGGCATCACATCATTAAAATAAACAGAAACCCCAAATCTGTAAGAAAAGACTCCTAAATATCATCTCTGCAATCTTCACTTTGCTCCTTGAAAGAAATTATAGTTCTTGCTCACTAATCTTTCTGAAGATTCTTTGATACGTTCTACCAGTAACCAACATAAGGTGACAGCAGGGCTGAGTATTCTGATTTCAGTGACAAGACCAAAAAGCAATAGTAGGTAGCTATTTGATGTGAGAGGTTTAGTTAGGTATTTCTGTAGCAATAACTTTGGAAGTACAGATAGAGTACATAATTTTGTCAGACGGTATCACTTCAGCCTCTTTTTTTTTTTTAATCAGATAATTGCTTTATAGTGTAAGAATCTGAAGGAAGGATGAAGAAAGAAGAGAACCATTATACTGCTGAGTATTTAATTTTATTTATATGAGGTTAAAATATCAAGTACATGTTTATCTCAGGAACCTGAATTATTAAGTTTTAAACTAGATTCTAGGTGGGCATTTGAAACTACTTGAAAGTAACCTTTGACTGTATGCAGAAAACATGCACTAAAAAGTACATTCCTCTGATGCTGAAATGAGGTTTTGTCTTCTACCAATAATAATCTTGCTCATACATTTAAAAGGTTCCATCCAAGAAGTATAAAATAGAAACACAGATACAACAAGCTTAGATGGCTCTTTAGAAAATACTAGTGGGTGTCCTGAAGGTGAAAGGCTTTGTAACTTGTCATAATAGTTTTCAGGAGAGCAATTAATTGCTAATTTATTTTTTAAAATCTATCATAGATCTACATGTATAAGCACTGACAACTGGAAATAAATCATGTGCTAAAAAAGCAGTATGTAGTTTAAAGCAGTAGAGAACATATCTCTGAATTGAAAAGAAATTCATGTAGGAAAGGCATAAATACAGGTTGAGATAATAAACACATTTTAAAGTGTGTCTGATTATCTAAATTCAGCATTTATCTATACTTGCTGGAAAGTGCAACATCAGATAATTAAGGTTTTCTTTATATAAGCAGAGGAGATATTTATGGTATTTTAAATAGTATTATGGAATAATTGACAAAACTATTTCCATTTTCATGGCCACTGTTACAAACTTATCTGAAATATATTAATCTAAACATAACTAAACATTTTCCTTAAGTAGCCTAATTTGTAACATTTCTGATGATTGTCATCATCAGAAAAATCATGTTGAAAATGTTATTGGGCAAATGATTGATATGAAATGTCTCACAGGTTATGTAAAGAGCTCATAGAATAAATGCTTTTATAAACACATTCATTAGTAAAAATCTCCTTCATCACCCACAGATCAGACAGTAATCTGTGCTCCCCCTCCCCAAAATAAAAAGTAATAAAAAAAAAATGTGGCAGACACTAAACATCTCCAGGTGACGGTAAAACAGTTTCCTTATTTTCCTTGCATCATGAGAATAGCTGCATCATGCAGCTTCCTTTTCTAGCCACTCAGTTTCTTTAAACTTCGTAAAGAAACTTTTTCACTCTTTCTATTGTGTATTAGTAGCAAGACCTCTTTTATAGATAAGCAGATAGAGAGGAGCACTGTAAAGAGCTGGAAACAATATCTCAGTGTTAACCATATCAGAGATGCAGAAAGAGGCTGAACACCTGTTGCAGAAACCAGGAAGCAGAATCTAGTCCAACTTATGGTGATAAAGCTTAATGAATCAGAAGGTTAAATACTTTTGGAAGATATCTGTCACCCAGCCTCTATTATCAGATTAAGCCAGATGTGATTCTAGAGGATATATATCTGCAAAAATGCTAAAATTTCACCTTCTGTTTTCCCTGATGCAACTACTTTACATCAAATAACATTTTTTTTAACAGGAAAAAAATAATTAAATGAAACCATTTAATGAAATCCATATAAAATGAAATCTAAATGTAAAAAAGGAACTTTTTACTCTAGGATTGTGATTGCAAGAGTGAAACCAGAATCAGAACACATGACTTATTCATCCAGTCCTACCCACCTTATAAAGTTTAGATTGCATTATAAATAACTAAATCTATTAAAAAAAAGTTAAAATGTTCAAGATATTCAATAGTAATTTCTACTTAAGCATCAATCATTTCAAGGAAGGGAATGCCAGGAGGAGAAACACAATCAGAAAAAAAGTTTTCTTTGACACAAAAGTCTCACTATTAAGAGCCTTGTTTCATATTTGGTTAATTAAAATGCAATATATTAAAATATAGTACCTTATAACACATGCATAGAGCCCGCTGTCTTGTACCACTGTTGGTCGGAACCAAATGGAGTCTTCTTCTTTGCTCATTCTGGTTCCATCAAAAGCTATAGGTTCTTCAAAATCTCCAGGTCCCGAGCTTTTGTACCACATCAAGCTAAGTCCAGCACTTTGGGCTAGGGAGTAATTAGCTCTAATATATCCATAAAAGAGTGCACATTTTATACGAACAGGTTCTCCCACTAGAACTTGATATTTCTTGTAATCCACAGACCAGTCAGTGCAACCATCAGCTGAAAGAGAAGAGAAAACAACAAGAGGTTGTCAGAGGCTTTGGAGAGCACTGTTCACACAGAACCTTTATTGTGGGAAAGCATTGTATTTGAGAAAAGGCCCTTTGAGTGACTAGCAGGACTCTTTTGATCCCTGAAAAAGTAACTGCATTTTCACAGTATTAATGTCATGTACTTATCTATACTGGACAGTTATTAGGACATTTATTGCTAAGTGTTGATAACTTCTGAGAAAATTGAGCAATTGCTATTTTGTCTTTTGTGGAACTCCAGCATGACCAGTTATAAAATACTGGAGTGAAATTAGTGAAACACAGAGGTGTACACAGAGTGTCCCAATCTGGATTACATCAATCAAATATCTTCAAGGTAACCATGCAAATTGAGTCTCAGAAGATATTAGGGCATAGAACTGTGGTCTGAATCAAAAAGTGTGGAAGTTTGAGATAGATTTGAAGGAGAAGTAGAAACTTTCTTTACACTAGGAGTAAATGTGCAAAAAGATACTGTCAGGAAAACTACTGTCAGTAATCTTAATGGATTATTCAAGAAGATGATAAGCAGATCTCACTTGGAATTTCTGACTTTCCAGAAGTACATTACAAATTAATGTAAATAATCTTTGTTCTCTTGAATAACATCAGTTGCTACTGATACTGTCCCACAATAACTGTTCATCAGAAAGCAATACTAGATTTGCTAGACTTTCTGAACTCCAGCAACAAAACCAAACCCCAAAACCAAAAAAACCACAACCTCCCTTCCTCTTCCTCTTTATTTTTAGTTAAGAATACCAAAGCAAAAAAAGGAGAAGGGATGTTTTATACAATAAAAGCTTATGATTTTTTTCTTACGGAATTTCAACCATGGAAATTCACCATTATATTCATTCACTTAAAAACTCAGCATCCAGTCTCAGCTAGTTAGTTAGGGCCCAATCCAGTCAGTAGAAAGCAATCATTATAACCAAAGTGCAACTTATTTCATCCTAAAGTTAGTATCTATGTCTCGTATAAATATTTGGTCATTGAATTTGACACTTTATTAACTTTAAAAGATCTTAGATAGATAACTAGCTCAGAAAATCAACTTTTGCAAAGCTGAAGTGTCATCCTAGAGTTGGTTGAATACTGACTTTAACAGAGAATTCAAACTAACTGTGCAAGATAAAGCAGTATTAGCACTTTAAACCTAGACAATGTATTGGTCTGTCACCTAGGAGAATAACATCCCAGACAGTGATTTCTGAGATATATATTTGGATAATACCACAGTACTTATTATGCATGCAAAATAAGAAATACTCAGACATCTTCATACAGCGTTGTGTAAGCAATAATGTAACAGAACATTGAAAGATGAAGGGAAAAAAATAATGAAAACTTTAGAATGAATTTACATTGTAAACAGAATTCACATAAAGAAATATTTCATATATCTTTAAAGTGTCTCCTCCTGCATTTATTTTTAAAACCAGGAAGGGAGTATAATATGTCCCTGTTCCAATTTTCCTACCCAACAGTTCCTAAAAATTAGTAACAATTATGAGGCCCTAACAAGACTTAGTTGTACTCTTGTAGAAATTGAAGTGAATGAAAGCTACACTATTAGTTTTCCCATAGGACTCTAAGAAACTAACTTCCATTTATTTCAGAATTCAATTACATCTTTGTTATTTTCATTTTTTACCTTTCTGAAAGTGCATTCCCTTTCTGATACTATTTCTCTCTGCTTCTACATCCCCATGCTAAAAATGAATTAACAGACACCTCTTAGCAGTGTAAATTTCATTATATAAGTAACCAGGTAATGGGTTCTTCATCATACTTTATTATCAAATTTTAATCTTACCTTTCGCTGCCTAATTGAGTTAGTACACTTCAGTTTATATTATTAGTCTGTTAGTTACGTTTTCTCTCTCAACATATTCAGTTCTAATGGTTCCCAGTTCTTTCCTTTAGCTTGCTGAATCCACTAGAATATATTGCAACTCTGTTTCAAGCCTTTGTATCAAATGAAGGATGCAGAGCAAATGCTACTGACTTTATTCCAGTGTGCTATTTCTCATAAAAGCATGCTAAGGATCATCTGCAGTACAGTTTAATATGCTGGCAAATATTCTATATCACACACAAAAACAGAGAGAACATTACCAAATTCAGCACTAGTGAGGCCACATCTGGAGTGCTGTGTTCAGCTTTGGGCTTCTGAATACAAAAGCCATTTACAGACTGGACAGAGTCCAACAAAGGTCCACGAAGATGGTTAACGGACTGAATCATCTCTGCTATGAGCACAGGCTGAGAGCTGAGACTGATCAGCCTGGAGAAGAGAAGGCTCGGGGGAAATCTTAGTAATGAATACAAATATCTGAAGGGAAGTTGCAAAGAGGACGGAGCCAGGCTCTTTCCACTGGTGCCCAGTAAGAGTACAAGAGGAAACTGAAATTCAGTAGGCTCTTTCTGGACAGCAGGAAACACTTTTCTACTTTAAGGGTGACTGAGCATTGGCACAGGTGTTCTAGGAAGGTTGAGGATTCCCTATCCTTGGAGATATTCAGAATCCAGCTGTTTCTAGGTGGCCCCACTTGAGCAGGGGTTTGAACCATATGACTTTCAGAGGCCTCTTTGGACCTCAACCACCCTGTAATTCTGTGCTTTATTACAGCTACACTCGACGATAATCTTAAGAAAGCATGTGTCCTCTTCTCAACGTGATCTTTCAATGAAGCGAACATCAGAATGCTTCTCTTCCTGCTTACAGAAATATTATACCAGTTAAACTTTGCCAACACTGACATTCAAGTCACTTAGAACTGTATTAACCTTATTACGGTTGGAAGGCTTAATATCTTAAAAATCTTCCAGGAAATACCTCACAATACTACTCAGCCAACGTGCCTTCATCTATAAGAAGGTGCTAATGCAATTCTATTGGATATAATAGAAATTCATCATTCCTATCAAAAGACACAGACAACATTCTGTGATATTTTTTGAAAACAATGACATTTCAGAAGATAACTGTCTATCTCTGCCTAAAATGGTCCTATTCCACTGTAACCGAGGAGTATAAACAGAGGTTTAAAACCACATAAGCGAATGAAAATTAGACTGTCATGTCCTTAAAAATTATATTACTGTGAACACTCAGATAGATGATAGCATGCATGCACTATAACTGACCCTTTCCGTGTGCACTCGGCATTTGAGATGTGGAGAACACCTGCAGTGTTCAGTTTAGAAAAATTTGGATGTATCAGAAACCTAATTAAAATCCTGATTTCCAAATTCCTTGAAGAATGAAAAGATATATTTTAAAAGACACAAACATACATTTAGACACCAACACCTGCAATTAGGTGATTCAAAACAACTGTGGGGAAAAAATACACTCAGTACTTTGCAATGTTTTTATTTATATCATCACATCATCAAGCAGTCAATCATCTTTTATTTTATTTTATAAATTGGAAAACACTTGAAAAATTCAACGGCTTTGAAATTTCAGAACTGCCTTCAATGAATGGTTGTAGTCCCTGATGTCTATTTTAGTAGGCTGCCAGTTATTGCTACACGTAATAGCACAATACAGTGTCCAAGATAAATATCATTCACTCAGCTATTTCCTTGAGTGATTTCAGGGTATGAAATAAACCCGACTACATCACTGTCCTAATAATAGATCACTCTGCTGGATAAACAAGCTTCTTGCAGGTTGTACCTGCTGATTGGACCTAGCACACAGAATATTCATCATTACTAAGAAGGTCTTCCCCTTAATTTTTCAGTATCACATGCATCATTTTCAGGGCCAAATTCGATGTTGAAAAGGAGAAAAATATAAAGTTAATAACTCCTGAGTCCACTGCTATAGCCTGGTTTCATTCAAAAGCTTCAATTCAATTTATAGGTTTCAGGGTTAGAAAAGGTCTTTAAGTTTCCAATACATTGGTTAAAATCTGATTTCTAGACACCCAAACAAATTAGGCGTGACAGTTGAAAACATCAAATCATCTGAAACTTATTACAGTTAATAATGTTTAATAAAATAAAAATTAATAGATTTATTTTCTCCTGATTATCTGTGTTTGTAATTCTGTTCTTGACTTAATTTCATACAGAAAGGATTATACAATGTCACTGTGCCTTCTGTTTATTTGTCAACTACTTCAGAGGTTTTTAAAGGCCTTTGCAAACCTGATGAAGAAGTGATCTTATAAGTCACAATAAATTCTGAAAAATGGGTATCTAAGGAAGAAAGCACCAGGTCTTGTTCCTAAAGCTGGGAACTTGTCAAGGAGGTCACTAGGGAATGCAGAAATAAGATGGCAGTATGTAGGTAGAGAAAGCGAGCAAAGGATATTGTATCAGTACGATTTTTCGGTAGAGTGGAGAATACGGGTATAATATGTCCAGAAAAGAGGCTTTCCTTATCTGGCTCCTCATAAAACACCTTTTCAAAATGTTTATTGAGTGATGCGTCAAACTCAAAATTACTTTCTTTAAAACAATTTTCACAGCAATATTTTACCATCAAATCGCAGTCTGTTCTTGATCCCCTCTCTTTACCCTGCTTGTTTCTTTCTGCTTTTTGCTCAGACTATCTAGCATTAAAAAAAAAAAAACAAACAAAAAAAATCAAAAAATCTATCAAGAACTTATACTTTCTAACACACTCATTACAGTGCCTGAGCCAATTAGCTCTGTGCAACATGACACACGGTATTCTTCTGTGGATTCTCATTATGAAGACATGCAAAGATTGTCTATTTTTGGTTTGTGTATGCTTTTATTTGCTATAAAAATAAGCTCTAACAAGAATGAAGAAGCAAAGCTTAGAAAGACAACATACTATGGAGCTAAGAAAGAGAACATGGTCAGTTCTATTCTTAGACTTAGACTAATCTTGTGCTTAGATTTTTTAGTACCAGCATAAAATTGGAAAAATGAAAAACAAGTTGATTTAATATTGGTACTTATATTATCAAAAGTCCATGT